TAATGCAATAGGGAACTTGGTTCTTGCTGACAAAAGGTTAAAATCAGGAAACTTTTTTGCTACTGAATCACAGTAAAAGAAATCCTAGTAATGTCATTGTTGCTATCTGGTTCCAGGGCCTCAGAGTCATTAGATTGGATACAGTGGGTGCAACAAGACACAAAAACATTGTGCAGTATTTACCAGCCACATTCAATAATATAGCCTTAATCATACGTACTTGAACTATTTCATATCTTGTCAAAAAAAGCAATGTGCAACAAGGGCATGTGGGCTGCATTTAATGTTAAAATTGCTTTGTATTAAGATATAGGCTGAGAATTTTTAAAAATATATTGCAAAGAAGACTACTTATTCAAGGATACAATGTCTGAAATGGTTACTACTTTGACAAAAAATTTAATTGGCCAAAACCCACCAACCTTGAAGTCACTTGAAGTAATGTTTTCATCATTGCATTTGACAAAACCCAACTTGTGGTATTCCAAGTGTATAAATAGTCTAGTTCATATTTACCAGAATTTTTCTACTGATGTAGCTCTTAAGATGGGAAGGGGGAATTCTTAACCTGTTTTATTTACCTGATTAAATGTCTGAGAAACAAAACTTCCTTTGTTCTCCTGGATTGTATTAGGATAACTTTCATTGGGTTTTGGCATTTCCTTTACTTTACAAAACATGCTTAGCATACTGCTACAGTTACAGAAGTTTGGTAAATTACTAAATTAACAACTGTGACGTCTAATTTTATAAAGCGACATTTAATGAAACCACTATTGTGAAGACTTAAAACAAAGAAGAATAAGTGATGAGGAAGTGAAACCAGTTACAAGTCACTCATTCAAGAAATTTGAAAGTAAAATAAGGGAGAGAAATAGATCTATAACTGTGAGACAGCAGAGTCAAGGGAAACTTTTTACAAGATGAGTAGACCTGTATATCTTTGAAGGTAGAGGGGAAGGCTCCACTGTTGAAAGTAGAAATAACTTTAGGAAATAGGTAAGACACAGGGGCAACAAGGGTGACTGGGTGAGCCTTGAAAAAAGGGGAGGAAGAATAAAAGTTGCTTGTAGTGACAGTGAAAGGAAATGGTCATAATAGTTGTCATTTATAAAGTGTTCGAAGCCTTGACACATTTTATATACATTATTTCATTCTCATAACAACCTTGAGTTATCTATAGTAGATGAGTAAACTGTGCAGACTTGCTCATAATCACATAGTTAATAAGTGTATTACAGGTGGAATTTGAACCTAGGTCTTCTTAAAGTCTGACATTTTAGCCATATCCACACTGCCTCCTGTGTAAATACAGATAACCAAGGAGAAAGTGCTAACAATTGAAGAAATCCTGAAAAGCCTCATGTTAGAGACATAACACCTGGGTTGAGCTTTGAAGGAAGTCATGGATTCTCTGGAGAGGCTGTGCACCAAGGAATAGCACTCTACACATGGGGGCTAGTTTTGCTGGACTGTAAAATGTGTGAAGGGGAGTAATGTAAAACAAGTCTGAAAAGATGGGCTAGAGCCAGATTGTAAAGGGCTTTTTATGTTAAAGGAATCTGTATTTTCTCCTAGAGGAAATAGAGAGTCATTGAGATTTGTTGAGTTGGTTAATCACATGTCTAGAGCTGTGCTTTAGGAAGATAATTCTGGCAGCTGTGTGGTGGGTGAATTGGAGAGTAGAGAAACTTGAGGGAAGTATCCCAATTAAAAGGTTATTGTGGGCAAAGCCAAGATGGCAGAATAGCAGGAAGAATTATAGTGAGCTACTCCTTTCACCCTCAAACTCATGCAGTAAGTGCCCCAGACTAAATCTCAGACTGATAGGGAAATCCAAGAAAAAAGTTACACCAAGTCGTTTTTCCAGCCTCGGGAGATACTAGGAACAGGATCTGGCCAGGAGCAGCCAAATAGAGCACTCTGTTGTGAGGGAGAGGCTATACACTGGTGTAAGACAAGGTCCCAGACACATCCTAGGGCATCTCAACAGGAACAGGTGCCAAATGGCAGCTTTGTTGCTTGCTACCCAGTTCTGGGTTGTAGAGCCAGGGCTGACTGAGGAGAGGACCTGCACTCAGAAGTAGGAAGTTCAGAATCAAGAAGTAGTTTAGACCCCAGGATCATAGAGGTGTCTCATTTCCAGCCTGTGGCCCAGTCTAAAGCCTGCGGAGAAATAACCAGGTCAGGAATCCCAGACCAGAATGGACCCTGCATTTCTGTGTCTTTGAACAACCAGAGCTTCCTAGATGCCTTATAGGGGCTGAGCCCAATTGCTCACACCCAACCCCAAGTGAGGAACTTGCAAAGCTCAGGCCAGAGGACCGCAATCAGGCTTTACCCTGCAGAAGACTATTTTGGGTGTCCTGAAAGCTTGAAGTTCCCCAGCCTGAAATGTTCTAGAGATCCTGGAATAACAACACTCAATACCCCAAGAAATCAGCAAGAGGACCAATTTCCTTCCATGCAGAATTTGGCCCTAACATAAATCCAGAGTCAGAAAATAGTCTGGAAGAATGAGCAAACAAACAAACAAACAAACTAAATAAATAAATAAATGAAAGAATCCCACCATTTACAGCTATTATGATGACAGGACCCTCAAGACATAAACCCAGAAAAAAGAAATGACTCTAGAATATCTATAAGCAAAAACTCAAAGAAAAATGTAGCTTGGGCACAAGTTCAATTAGAATTCCTGGAATTCTTTTCTTTTCATTCTTTTCTTAAGATCATTGAGATACAACAGAACCACTCCCAGGTCTTCTGCCTAATTAAACTTCTGAAAAAATCAAGTACAGAATAGTTACAGTCAGGATCTCATATGATTTAGCAGGCATCATTATAATGGAGAGGAGAACTAGAATACCATAATTCAGAAGTCAAAGGATCTAGGCTCAGGTAATAATAACTTACCCAGCAAAACTGAGTATAATTAGAAAGGGGAAAAGATGAATCTTTAATGAAGTAGAGAACATCTAAGCATTCCTGATGAAAAGACCAAAGTGTGTAGAAACTTTGAAGTTCAAGTACAGGAGTTATTAGAAGCCTAGAAAGGTAAATAGGAATGAATAATGATGAGGAACTAAACAAGGATAAACCATTTACATTTTAATGGGGGAGATGATACATATGTTTCCCCTGAACCCTATCATCAAGGGTTATAGAGGAAGTCTAAATAGACAAAAGGCCTAGGAGTCGTTCTGCTTGATCATCTTCAGGAAAGAATGGAGAAGAGAAGATGATGCTATGTATAAGGCACTGATAAATGCTGTGTTCAGTATAAAGAGAAGATTTGTGGCTTAACATTTTTTTGATTGATGATATAGCACATATCAAGTATGAATATAAAATGATGGCATTGTTTTTAGGTGTCTTAATTCAGTTCTACCAATTTAAAAAAAAATTAAAAAACAAACCCTACTACAGTGTCTCATCATGGCATAAATCTGACCCTGAATTCTTAAAGGCTGTGCCAGTAGAGCACAAGGTCTGGCAAGTCATAAGCTGCTAACCTGAGGTTCTTAACCTTTTTTGTGTTATGGACTTTGGGCAGTCTGGTGAAGGCTATGGACCTGTTCTTAGAATAATATTTTTAAATACTCAAAATAAAATACATATGATTATAAAAACATCCAATTATATTGAAGTATTGATCCAAATATTTAAAAACCAAGTTCATGGACTCCAGGTTAAAAACCTCTGCAGTAAAGACTTAGAAGTATGGTCCATCACAAGGCCTATATTCAATTATCAGAAAACGAGTCTAGTTGGGCTGGCTAGAGGTGATGAATTTTTGAGCCACAGCAGCTTTGAGACCATTTACTAAGTCATAGAGGGGTGATGATCTGTGTTGGTCTTCATGCTAATCATGGTGGATGAGATCACAGATCTTATTGATGAACTCATAAGTCCTTAATAGATAAAATTATAAAAATCAGTTTTGTGAGATTTTATTTTAATGGAATAGAACCCCAATAGTGTCAGAAAAGAAAGAGCACCCATCTCACATTCTCACTATGGTACGTTGCATTTTTTAATTAAGAGGGGTTATGTTTTAGGGACTATACAATTATGAATTGTTTTATAACAGGCTTTTTTGTATTTAGGTAGTATCCCCAAGTATGAAATATTCATCAGAACTTTTCAATAAAGTTTTTAAAAATTAAACAAAACCTATATTTTTAAAAAGGTCTTAAACACACGTTTGCACAGTTATTTCTATTGCAATTTTAATCCATTTCTTGGTGCAGCAGATTGAGAACTGGCCTGGAAGCTGACCAGGGTTTAAGTCCTACCCTCTGACAGACGCATCCTTGCTGTGTGACCTTGGGCAAGTGACTTCACCTCTCAGTGCTTTAGGCAGCTTTCTGAGACTATAAGTTGCAGAGAAGATACCAGCCTGCATTACTAGAAGAAGTTTCTTCTTGGGGAGTTCCCTGTAACAATGGAATCACAGGTCCCTTCCCATACATGTCCATTCTTGTATAAAATTACGCATATACTTAAAATTACCAAGATGTGTTTATATTTATATATATTCAAGGACATAACCAAACTTTTTGATATGTTAGTGTCCTATGTTTTGCTGTTGGTTAATTTATGAAATTAGTTGTATTTGTTAATATTGGGCTGTTTAAATTTTTTTTTTTTTTTTTTTTGAATTCTAGCTATAGATAGCTGGTAGCTCAGTGAATAGAGCCCTGGGCCTGGAGTGAGGAAGACCTGAGTTCAAATGTGGCCTCAGACATTTACTAGCTTTGTGACCCTGGGCAAGTCACTCAACCTCTGTCTGCTTCAGTTTCCTTAATGTAAAATGGGGACAATAACAGTACTCACCTCAAAGGGTTGTTGTGAGAATCAAATGAGATGATATCTGTAAAGTGCTTAGTACAGCGCTCGGCACCTTGTTGGCACCACATAAGTGTTTATCCCGTTTTCTTCCTTCTCCCTATGAAAATGATTAGAAAGTCAAACGCGTGCCTCTCTTTTCCTCCCAGAGCGGTTTGTAGGAAACATGAACTAATGCAGTATGATTTGGAGATGGCTGCCCAGGATCTGGCGTCCAAAAAGCAGCAGTGCGAAGAGCTCGCGACAGGGGTGAGGGCACAAACGTGTAGCTATCACCGTGCAGTTGCATTGCATCTAATCGTAAGAGGTTCTGGTTCAGAAAGACATCTTTACTTGTATATTATTTATTTGTGACCTTTTCACGGAAAAAAGAAATGCTGCACAGTTGGTGTTATTCCTTAGTACGGTATTGGGGAGAACTCTGTAGATGTTGCTTTGTATGGTACAGTGGTAACTGATACCAGATTTGTTTCTATATTTATTGGGGGCGGGGGGCGGATGGAGGGCAGCAATCCAGACTTGTGATGTTACCAGTGGAGGGAATGCTCCTGGTGAAGAAACTCCCTCTTCGAAGCAAGTTGGCAGTTGTTTTGCAATTTATAGTCTTAGTTGCCTGGGCCAGTTTTATAAGAATTAATTTTTTAGTTCATCTTGAAAGGATTCAGTTAATTACTCTAAAAGAGTTTTCTGCATATTTTAGAAATTCTTTCTGTGAATACTTGTAAAGAATATTAGTTATTTTAAACTTCATGAGGACAGGGACCATATCCCATCTATCTTACCCTAGGCTTAACCAGTATTCTGTAGGTGGTGGATGGTTTTTAATTGAATTGGTATTAAACTGATATATGGGATTAAGGTAGACATTGTGAGAAGAATCTTTGATATGCTTTGTGCAACTCCATCATAATGGAGTTTTGTAATAATACTTTATATTGGTAAATGATTTTTAAAATCTGCAGAGCACTTTAATTTGAATTTTACACCAGCTCTGTCAGATGAGCAGGGCAAGTAGTATTATATGTAGCCCCATTATATTTTGGTCTGTACCACATGATATAATTTTGTGTTTCCTACTACTCAGAATCACAAAATGTCAAAGCGAGATGAGACTTTGTCATCTAGTCCAGCACCCGCCAAGTCCCAGAGAGGTGAAAGTGATTTGATCAGAGTCACACTACAAGTGGCAAAGTCACTTCCAGTTCTCTTTCTGCCGTATCCCACTACTCCACTTAGAGAAATTTAAATGTCTTCCCTAGAAAGCTAGGGTTAGAGCCCATTTCTTCTACCTACTAGTCTGTTGTTCTTTCCACCAGGCCATGCTGCCCTTCATTAAAGGAGGTAACAACCAGTGTGAATGGGCCAGGCACTCAGTTTTTACCTGTAGTGGTGATGGGATTCAGTGAGCCCTAGGTATATTCTTATCTATTTTTTCTTGTGATTAGTGTGTGACATAGCTAACTGTAGTTTGTAGTGGTGTGTGAAATAGGTAGTTTGGTTTAATTTTTTTTTTTGACTCTGGAAAAATTCCAGGCTATTTTTGAATAGGTTTATTTATCCTTTTACCATGTAAAAGGAGATGTCATTCCCTCACTAATCTCCAAAGATGGGGAAAAGGAGAGTAATGAAGTATGAATTTAGGATACTCTCCTCATGCACTACTATCTGTTGCCAAAATTTAATTTTCTTGGCTTGTGAGTAGATGACATTTTCAGCCTGAGGTAAGCAAATTTTAACAAGTTTTTACCTTTTTAGTTTGTTTTCCTAGGTGGCTTTTTCTGTTACAATAATCTTATTTGGTACTATAATTAAACCAAAAGGATACTTTCTGAGAGTATACCCTGGCACAAGATTTTTACTTCTTTGGGGGATGGGGAGTAGGGAAGGAAGTAGCTTTTTATTTATTTACTTACCAATTGCTCTTAGACTGTGAGGACATTCTCCCTGAAAGGAATGACTAGTAAGCTGTTCGGTCAAGAGACTCCAGAGCAAAGAGAAGCCAGAATAAAGGTGCTAGAGGAACAGATACATGAAGGAGAAGAACAACTGAAGTCTAAGAATCTGGAAGGCAGGTAAAAGTGCAGAGAAACTTAACAGAACTTCATTTTAGAAAGCATGAAATATTACCGTGGAGGTCATTGGCTTTCAACTGAGATAGCTTATTCAAAGAGGAATCCTTGTAGCAATGGCAATTAAAAGACAGAATAGTTGAGGATCTCCTAAAAATTTAGTGTAATTTATGTACCTGAAAATGTGCACAACTTCTATGCTTTATATTTTGATGTCTTCAGGGATGAATATTGGTTAAAATTGACCATGAAGCATATATAAAGTGATCATTTTTGTAGTTTGTGATGTTCAATTGCCATCTGACTGACTTTTCTTATTTACCTCAATCAGTTAATGAACTAACAGACTTAGCAGTATTTCTGTTTGCGTTTTTTTCATTAAAAATGTAAATGCTGTTCATTTCCTCTAAAGCTAGTTCCTAAGAAATCAGAGTCAATTCAAAGATTCTTTTGCTGTTAGAATAAAAATGACAAATGCAGTTCACACAAAGTTTTTAAAAACCATAGTTGTCCACGAAAACAAACATAACACATGGTAAACTCAACTTATTAAATGTTTAAGCATTTGCTTTATATTTGCTTGGTGCTGTAGGAACACAGATGAGCCATATTCATTTTTACAGAAAAGCTGTACATTTTCACATGACCAAGGGAAGCAGTTTATGCAGATATATCTACCAAGTTTGGGGGAACCAATTCAAGTAGCATTTCCTTGCTTCTTTGAAAAGTACAGTTTGACACTGCTTTGCATCATACCTAAGACAGACTTTCTTCGCACACTGTAGTCACTTAGTAAATACTTGTTGAATTGAACTGTGGCAAAGCATGTATTTTTAAAGGAAAAGGTGTGTCTTCACGGAAGTGAAATATTTTACCCAGTGATTTAAAACATATGTACACATTCATAAAGTTCAAACCAGAATAATGTAACTGACATTAACAGTCCCATTTGCGTAAGTAAGCCCAATGATGACTCTGCCTTAATTTCATTACAGAGAATTTGTGAAAGCTGCTTGGGCAGATATTGAACGCTTCAAAGAGCAAAAGAACCATGATTTAAAGGAGGCTCTCATAAGCTATGCAGTTATGCAAATTAGTATGTGCAAAAAGGTAGGTCTACAATAGACCCTGAGTGAGCTTCAGATTTGTGTACATTTGGGGAGAATTTTAGAGTTTTATTATGTCTAAATGCTATTGTGATGCCAGAAGAATTAATTTTTTTGCTTTTTAAAGTCCATAATGCCAGAATTTTTAAGTTTTTGAAATTTCATCTTATTACTTTATCAAATTTTATAGACAGATAGTGTTTTGAGTTTGTAAATTTGTGCGGAGGATCTGTCTGAAAACTTGTTGCACTCACAAATAATACTGTTAACCTTTAAATGTATGTTTTAGATATTTAAGAATTTTTTACACCAATAGAGTGATCAAAATCTGGAACACACTCTGCATTATTATTTCTTAATAATAACTCACATTTATATGAAGTATTTCAGTTTTCAAAGCTGTACTTTAGCATTTTCTAATTGGTGCTAAGTGAAGTGGAATTTGGCAGTTAATTCGTTGAACTTGATCCGTAAGAACAGCCTTCCCCCTCTCCCTACCCCCATCCTGACCTGAAATTTATCAGTGTAGGGAACTGTGTGGAAATTTTTCCTGGACTGGGTTGAAGTACCTTCTCTGAGACCAAGCTTGGCTGTCTCCCACCATTCAGTTTCGGTTGTTTTGTTGTTGCTGTTATTTCCATTTCCATTGCTATAGTCATTGTGTATATAATTTTCCTATTTCTGGTTACTTTATAACAGTTCACGTGTCTACCCGTACTTTTCTGCATTTGTCATTCGTTGTTTCTAATGGCACAGTAATATTACATTGCATTCATATACCACAGTTTAGTCATTGCCCTATCAATAGGCATCAACTTTTTTTCTAGTTCTTTGCTACTACAAAAAAGTATTGCTGTAAATATTTTTCTTTTTGTCATTAATCTTTGGGGTATGTGCCTAGCAGTGGACTCTCTTGGTCAAAGGGTATAGAAATTTTAGTCGTTCTCTTTGAATAATTTTGATTTGCTTTCCAGAAAGATAGGACAAATTCACAGCTCAGCCAGCATTGCATTGCTGGGCCTATCTTTCCTAGCCCCTCCAATATTGACTATTTCTTAGGGTTGTTTTGCTTTTCATTTCACTTATTACTGATTTGAAGCATTCTTTCATGTGATTGTTAATAGTTTACATTTCTTCTTGTGAGAACTGTTCAAATCCCTTTGACAGCTTTTCTATTGGGGAATAGCTTTTGGTCTATATTTCTGTTAATTGTTGGTGTTCTTGGCCATCAGACCCTTCTCCAGAGATATTTAATACAAAGATTTTTTCCCCCATCAACTCTTTCCCTAGTTGCATTAATTTTGTTCATGTAAAACTTTTTAAATTTGATATATTTGAAATGATCTGTTTTATCTTATATGATCACTTATATTCTTGCTTGATTGGAAATTGACTTCCTAGCTATAGCTGTGAAAGGTATCTTCTAATTTTTTATGATATGATCTTTAATTTATTCAATTCAAGCATCCATTTTGAGTTGATTGTAGTATCTAGTGTAAGATGTTATTCTAAACCCAATATTTGCCAGAGCACTTTTGGCTTTCCTCAGTAATTCCTTTCGATATTCCTTTCAATTCCTTTCCTATCTTGCATGCCTTTTCATCCTGTGCAATTTTTTTTTATCTTTCCATAAATCCTCCATAGAGGATTCATTCAATGCCCTTGAGACCTTCCTCTGGTTCTTTTATTATTTCTTGGATACTTGTGCAACATTTAGACTGTGTATCTCTTTTTCTCTCATGCTCACTAAATTACTGACTTACCTCATTTTCCATTCCTACTTGTCTTTAATGATGTCTGTTACACTGCTTTTATCATGAGTCTTTTTAAAAAGCCATGCTTCCAGTTTTACAGTGGCAGTTTTGAAGTCCAAACCACTTGTTCCTGGCCTACAGACAGAGTATGTTATGTAGTAGGATGGACATATTATGGGAGTTAAGACTTTCCAAAACTTTAGATATTAATTAGTTTATTTGAATTGCTTTTTGATAATTTTTTGCTCTTAATGCAAAAGCTAATGTACCGAGGAATCAAATACTTAGTTTTTCAGAACCCTTTGTGAGTCATGTTTCCATTTTCTTTTAGGGAATTCAAGTGTGGACCAATGCTAAGGAATGCTTCAGTAAGATGTAATCCTGTAGAAATGAATTCCTCTTCAATCAAGTGCCCCAGAACAGAAGCACAAGTACATAATGAAGACTTAAGTTGCTACCTGATATACACAAAAACTTACAATTTAATCATTTGAGTAAATACAGTGTTCTTTATGCTGATTGTAGTTGTTAGAATAGCACAAAAAAGGAGATGTTTTAATGAAGATTAACATTGAAATTAAGACCTTATGGTGATCCCCCCAAAGTCATTTGGTATTGTTTGAGAGGATTCTGAACTAGTAAAAGTCCCATTGTTAGGTCATGTTTATATGTCCTTTCAGCCCATGCTCTCTCTATAAATGTGTAAAATGATTTAGAGAGTGTTTACTTAAGATTATATTCTTGAGGTTTACCTAGAAAAGATGGCCAAGTGGAAACTCACCAGAGTGCTGTGGGGGTGATTTTTACTTGCCTTATAGTTGAGCTATTTGCTTTGACAAAAGCTCAGCAGAAACTTAGTGTGAAATCTAAGCTATTCCATCCATACCTCCTCAGCACCCGTGTGAGAAATGTATGCATACACTAGAAAATGCCTTCAACTTTGTGCTTCACCAGAATTTTGATATTGGACAAAAATTTTATACTGCCAACAAAGAAGACAACTCTTTAAATGAGTAGTAGAGTCCATTGTCTTGGATTAGTAGAAAGCCTTTTAATTGAATATGTTAAATATAATAAGGAAGTTTCCAAATCATTTTTTCAAACCCGAGCGATTAGCCTAAATTAGCTTGGTTTCGCTCTTAACGTATGGTGTTTCAGGGTACAAGATGTAACATTTCAGTGTATAAGATATATATGTCAACAATATATGTGGTATCTTCATTATTAACATCCTTCTTTTATACTGCTTGGCTGTAATTTTGTAAAGAAAAATGAATAAATTATATTGATTTTTTTTTTGTTTGGTTTTCATGATACAGTATGTTCAAAAGCCAGGCATCTTTATTTTTTGCTAGCTTTGCAGAATCTTAAATGTGAACTTGCTGTTTCTAATTATATGAAATAACAATAATCCACTACTAGTTAGCATTTGACTTTTTTACATGTTGAAAATGTTGCAAAATATTGTGAAATTGCCAGACTTAATAAAAGAAAGAAGCATTGTGCTAATTTTCATATGAGATGCGTTAATTTAACAAAATGATTCATAACTATTAATACCTCATTTCCTTTATCTTGGGATATGTTCCTTAGATTTCATTCTCCTCCACCTTGTGGCCCCTTCCCTCGCTCCTCCCCAGCTACTAGTTTTTTTTTGTTTGTTTCAGTATTTCATTGTATATGCTTTTTTGGAACAAAATGTTTGTTTTAAAAATAAGGAGTCATATTGAAATGTGATTTAACATTTTTTGTTTTATTATTCTCTTGGGTTTTATGAAAGGTAAAACTGGTACAAGGAAAGCTCATCTGTTAAAATGAACGTTTTTGTTGGAGATAAGACAACCTTTCCATTTGATATTAAAAAAAAGACAAACATTAGGCACAAACTAAAAAGTGACAGTGGCCAAATGTATAGCTTACCTTTCTCACTCCCATCCACTTCTCTTTAATTTGGAAAAAAAAAAGGAACCAAACTGTTCTTTTTAGCTCCATTCCAAATAAGTAAAATAAAATTCTTGAATATTTTTTAAATTTTTTTATAAATAAATATATACCTATGTAATAGCATGTCTTGATTAGGTCCTTTTTTGCTTGCTTTTTGACCTTGTCACCAAAAGATGCTGTGGAGTAGTTTCCCTTCATATTTTAGGGGACTAGTTTATCTTTTAAAATTGTGTAATTCAATAGCTAAATTTTTCCCAACCTTAAAAATCTCTTCAGAGACATTTTGTGATAGAAAGCATTTTGGCATGATTACCAAAAAGAGATAAGACATATATAAATAGACTAGGCAAAATTCCTTCTAGTCTTCAAGTTCCATTTATTAAAAAAAAGTATTCATTTCAATAGTTTTTTAATTATTTGGTTTAATTCTCAGAATTAAAAGTAAAAACCCGATATAATCAATGAAAGATTTAAAAAGTCTTTTAAACTCATTTTTAAAATAAATACAAAGACACCAACATTGCATCTCAGTGTGAGTTTATGTGAGTCACTAATGATTGCAACATATAACACGCACCAAAACAAAGACTAAAGAATCATTTTAAAATCCATTTATTTTTAGGAAAAGACACACATTTGTTTTTGTATTAAAGGACAAGGTTCAGCTGAAAGAGTATCATCCTCTCAGTCCTCCAGGCTGGTAACATGACTGTCATCCTTGACTCCTCACTCTCCCTTAATCTCCCTAGCCAGATTGTTGCCAAGGCCTGTTGATTTCACCCTTGCAACATCTCTTGGTTAAGCTCCTTTCTCTCCTCTGATACTGCCACTGCTGTGGTGCAGGCCTTCATTTCCTCATGCTTGCACTACTGTAATGGCCTCCATTCAGTTCACAAAGTGCAGTTTGAACTGTGTCACCTCCCACCCTCCACTCAGTAAACTCAAGTGGGTTCCTATCCCTGCAGGATCAATATAAAATCTTCTAGTGTTCAAAGCCCTTCATAACCATCCTCCCACATGTGTGCCTTTCCAGTCTTACATCTCCCTCCATGTACTCTTCAGTCCAGTGACACTGGCTTCCTTGCTGTTCCATGAGCAAGATGCTCCATCTCTTCCCTCTAGGCACATTCACTGGCTGTCTCCCTCATCTCTGCCTTCTGGCTTCCCTGACTTCCTTCAGGTCTCAGCTTAAATTCTACCTTTTACAGGAACCCTTTCCCAATCTATCTTAACTCTAATGCCTTCCCTCTGTTGATTATTTTTTGTATCCAGCTTGCTTTAGTACATAGTTGTTTCCATGTTGTTTCCCCCATTAAATTGTGAGCTCCTTGAGAACAGGAACTGTCATTTGTCTTTCTTTGTATCCCTAGTGCTTAGCACAGTGCTTGGCACATAGTAGGTTTTTAATAAATTTTTTTTGACTGACTAAAACTTATTTGGGGGCATCTAGGTAGCACACTCTATCTAGTGCTGGGCTTGGAGTCAGGAAGACTTATATTCCTGAGTTCAAATCTGGCCTCAGGCACTTACTAGCTGTGTGACCCTGGGCAAGTCACTTAACCCAGTTTGCCTCAGTTCCTCTTATGTAAAAAGAGCTGGAAATGGAAATGGCAAAACACTCCAGTATTTTTGTCAAGAAAACCCCAAATGGGTCATGGAGAGTTGGGTACAACTGAAACAACTGAACAACCATTTTTAAAAAGTATGTAACAGAAAAACCAGGATTTTGCCAAATAGAATTTACAATTTTATTAAATCTGAAATCTCCGTAACACATGGCATTTCAGACTTTCCAGTCCCATATTACAATGACGTTGAAACGTTTATTGTTAATATACTGTAATTTTACATGTATATTCTTATATAGGATATCCCAAAATCAGTGTAGTTTTAAGCTATTCAAGCTTAAAACTGCCCTAAGATTTTTCATATACCCTGTATATATTTACTTTATTGCAGGAAAAATCTTTTGCAACGGTCACTCCTGAAAAATGTACTAATGTTAAATCTACTTTTACAATTCTTAATCATGACTTTTAAGAACACTTTTTTCCCGGGGCAGAGCCAAGATGGCGAAAGGAAAGCAGTGACTTGTTTGAGCTCTCCCCCAAACCCCTCCAAATACCTATAAAAAATGGCTCTAAACAAATTCTAAAGCAGCAGAACCCACAAAAAGAGCAAAATAAATTTCCAGCCAAAGACAGCCCGGATGGTTGATCGGAAAGGTATATCGAGTCCGGCGGGGAGAGGAGCACAGTGTGGTGTGGGCGCGCAAGCCACAGTGACCCTGGAGCAGGCTTCAGAGGACTGAATCGCAGGCAGCTGTGGCAGTTTCCAGACTTCTTAACCCACAAACTCCAAAGACAACTTAGAAGGTCAGTGGGAAAAGTCTGTGACTGCAGTGAGAGAAGGACCTAGCTGTTTCCTGAGCTTCTGGCCCACAGACTGAGGGGGTATTGAGTGGCTGATCAGAGGGGGATTGCAGGGATCTCTTGCTCTGCCCGTGCTTGGATCTGGGTCACAGTTCTGAGGAGAGGTCCTGGGGCGAAGAGGAGTGCTGGCGTGGTGGTGGAGGGGAAACACCTCGCCCCCTTATCATAGCACCTTGGAAGAACAGAAAATTTTCAGGTCCCTAGAAGTAGCTTTGAAAACAGCTGTACAAACCCCCAAAGCTTGGGACAGTACATTCTCCACATTGGGAGCAGACTCTTACCTTAACAAAGAGTTTAAAACTCAAGTAATTGGCCGGGATCATGAGCAAAAAAGGCGCAAAAAGAGTCAGACTATATCATCTTACTTTGGTGACAAAGAAGACCAAAACATACAACCAGAAGAAGACAACAAAGCCAAAGCTCCTACATCCAAAGCCTCCGAGAAGAATATGAATCAGTCCCAGGCCTTGGAAGAGCTCAAAAGGGATTTTGAAAAGCAAGTAAGAGAAGTAAAGGAAAAACTGAGGGTTTTGCAAGAAAATCATGAAAAACAACACTTTTTTCCTATCAGAAATGATCCACCTAATCCATAGACTATGAAAAAGAATCACAAAACCCAAGTTAACTTAATTTTGATTATTTTTATAGAGACAGTAATTCAATACTACATTCATTGGCTTTTTAAATTAAAAGAATTAAACATTTATTAAAGAAAACATTCCCTTAGATTATAAGCTCCTTGAGGGCACACTGGTTATTTGTGTGTATATGTGTGTACATGTACATTCTGTATTAGAGGCAACTTGTGGCTCAGTGGATAGCTGGGCCTAGAGTCAGGAAGACCTGAGTTCAAATCCAGCCACAGACTCCTCCTAGCTATGTGACCCTGGGCAAGTCACTCAACCTCTGATTGCCTGACAAAATGGATCCACTGGAGAAGAAAATGGCGAAGCACTCTAGTATCTTTGCCAAGAAATCCTCCTCCCAAAAAAATGGTGTCATGAAGGGTTGGATACAACTGAACAACAATCCTTTCTCTCTCCCTGCATAGTACTTTGCATATAGCCTTAATAGTCAGTAAACATTT